GGAAAGAGTTTATCAAGAATCACTGATGCACACATCACACCAAAGCACTTGCAAAATGTTCCTGCTATATAACATCCAAATGCCTCCATCACTTTCCAGAAGACAATCTCCTCACATGCTTTGTGGAAGTGTATAGAACAACGTGGAAGGGAAGGAGGAAAGGCTGCAGTCATTTTCTCTCAGATATATCAAAGTATTTGGTACACTGTGGAGGCCACTTTTCTATCACAAGTACCAGGGGCATGAGCAGTTTGGTTCCTCACACAGCAAGGAAAGAATAAGGTTGAGTTTACAGTTAGCTAGCAGAACAAACGCTAAAAGAAAGATACATAATTGTACCTGATACACGAAAAAGCTGCTTGCAAACCTTCCTATGAAATATTTTTCATGAAATTTACTGATATATCACAATTACTTTACAGACATGACTCAGACACAGTTCAGTTTGAAGGAGGAAATTTCAGAAATTAGACAGGCATATGGCTCGGGGGTTAGGGAACCGCAGGGATTCCATGGTCTAGAGCCCCAAGACTTCACATAAAATTTCAGTTTTTGATTTTGATTCTGACTCAAAATTAAACCAAATTCTGAAGTAACAAAATAACTCATGAAACAATATCTTTTCTCTGCTCAGCTCAATCTCTGACAAGTGTTTTCTGCAGTTAGTGGAAACATACACAAATGTGAGACTAGATGCCGATTGCTTTCAATAAACTACTCATTTTAACAGACAGTATTTTACCAAAATTAACAGAAAAAGTATAGCTGGGGAGAGGAGAGAAGGATTATTTGAGAATGATTAGACAGAGATGTACCACAATAATGGCCAGTGTTTAATTAATTGATTGATTGATTAATTAATTAATTAATTGGAACAAAAAAGTTTATAGAACCATTAAGTTTGTGAGAAGTAGCTCCTCTAATCCTGCTTTCTATCCACAGGTCTGATCTGCTCCTGACTTTTTTTGGCCCAACTTCAATCTTCTGTCCATCCTGATAAATCGTATATTTACCTTCTCCATAATACATACATACTGATCTTACTTCTCAACTATTTTGATCGTATACCATTTGCCACTGCTACATCAGGTTGATTTCAACTAGTTACATCCTCTCAAATAGTGTCTCCAAGATCTTCAGTTGACTCAAATTACTTTCACCATTTTTTCCCCTTTTTAATGATCTAATGATCATCTAATAGTGTGTGAGGCCCTACTTCATCTAAAAAGTTGTCAGCCTACTACTGCACCAATTCCCTTTCATCTTTTCCTCTACCTTCCATCTATTTTATCTCCACAGCCTGGAAGATGGCAAGGACTGTCTCTTTTGTGGAAAGACCCCAGTACATTGTGGAAGCTACCGCAATGCAATAAAAGAAATAAATAAGCTTAGAAATATTCTCAATGTGTCCTAACCAATCTGTTACACTTAGTTTCTCTGAAGTATTGGTTCTCAAGTAATAAAATCACCCATCATGCTAAAACTTCTAGAAATGCATTAGGAAAGGAGCCACAGCAAGCAAATCCCTGCTTTGTCAGTTTAAGCAAGCCTGTTTATTTTTTTGTTTGATGTTCCTATAATCACATATTTCTTTGAAAAGAAATTCTTCCGTCCTATTACCTCAATTCTAAATACAATACACCTTAAGAAATCTATACATCGGTCAATTTAAAAAAAACAGTTGTTTAACAGTAGTTACAACAAAACTAAGTTCAATAAATCTCGAAAGAAATATTGAAAGTGATCAATAAGTAACTGCAATGAGCAAGTATAACCAATATTTTAAAAATGAAAGGCAATTACAAATGTTTTATACATCAGATGTTACAAACTTTCCAACAGGTTAAATCAGAAAACATAAATTATAGAAGCATATATATATTTTTATGTAATTTTTATTTGCAGAAAAATGGAATGTATTCTGAGACGATTCAACTTCTGGCACAGACAGGGTAAACTACATTTGAAAAATACCTGAATTACACAAATTCTTTTATTTCCATAGAGGTTTTGAGATATTTTTACATCACTGAAGATTTTAACAACATTCTGCAAGGTTACCAAGACTCTCAGTGAAGTCTGATTTTTGTTCTAGTATTAACTGAGAAGTTTTAAATTCATAGAACAGACTATTCAGAAATTTACAACCCTGACTCAGAGAAACAAACAATGCTAAGACAGTCACTTGTTCCATACTTAGTTGCTGCAAAAACAGCAAAGATCAGAGGTTAGTCCTATTTCCAGACCTGTGCTCACTTCACCAACACAAAGGTCTACATATAGGGAAGTATACTAAAAAGACCTACATTTACTTAAAAACTAAATAAATGGGGAGTTATAGCATTTGGGCATTATTTTTTCTTCTCACTAAAATTTAAATAAATCTATTGGGAAACTATATTATTTGTACTGGTGCAACAATAGAGATTTTGGGGGCCAATATCAATACCCAATTTTTAAAGAGGCATATCAGCCAATACCGATCCAATTTCCAATACAGCTGGGTCCAGCTGATAAGTCTGATGTGATGGAAGGGGACAAGGGAGGGAAAGGGAGTGGGAGGGGCAGATCAACACCCCCCACAGTGAGAGAGGCAGTGGGCTGGGGCTGAGGCAGGTGCTGCCCAGCTGGGGCGGAGTGCAGGACAGAGGCATGGCTTGTCCACAGGGTTTGGGGAGGGGGGACGGTTCCCGCCACTGCGTGCACCCCGGGAGAGTATGTGGGGAGTGTGTGCCCCAGGATCTGCGTGGCATGGGGAAGGGCGAGCTGCAGCTGTGGGCTGCGGTGGCTCCAAGTTCTTCCCAGCAGGGGCTGGCCCAGGCTGAGCTTGGGGCAGGAGCAGTAGCGCTGGGAGGGAGGGGTATAGCATAGGCTACAGCCACCCCAAATTTTGCCATAGCCCCTCAGAGCCCTCCCTCCATGTGCTGCTGCTGCCCACCCCAAGCACAGCCCTAGCCCACCCCCCCCATGCCCAGACCCCGGGGGCACATGCCCAACCCCCCTCCTGGGGTGCGCACAGCAGCAGGAGCAACCCCCATCTGCACTTCCTAGATGAGCGACAGCTCCATTGCATGCCCCACCCTGCCCCGGCTGGGCAGTGCCTGCCCATGCACAGGTATTTATCAGCCAAATTATCAGCCACATCAGGCCTATTTCTGATGCAGTTAATTTTCTTTATATTGGTGCCGATCTGATATCAGAGCAATGTATCTATGCACCTCTAGTTATTTGCTTTCAAAAGAGATTTATTTTAACACATAAGAAAACACACAAACATTACTGCCATTTCAGTTAACCATTCATAAGAACTTACACTGTATTTAAAATCAATCATCTAAGAGTAGCCTTAATGGGCGGGAAGGGATAGTATGCTACTTCTTCCCTTTTAGGCACATCTTCTTGCCCGAGTACTCACTATCTGCATTGTTTTTCTTGTTGTAAAAACAGTAATTCAAAAATCCACCTGTATTTAACTCGGTAACATTTTTGATGAGCCTGATATTTATTTCCTACTGGTCCAGAAGCTTCTAATACATGCCATGTTATTTTAATTATTTTATAAAGTCAGTTTTCACTTATAAAAACCCTATATTAATTTTACAGATACTGTTACCAACGTTTTAAAGAAGCAACACTTAAAATTTTCCTGAGGAAGTCAACCCAGCGTGAAAAATTCTCATGTTATGAGATACACATTTTTAAAAATAGATCTCCTATTTTATAAGTCACTTATTCAGTGTTGGAAACTAAGTCACGAAGTAATAGAAACTGTACAGTTTTACACATACAAAATTGAATCTAATGCCCTGAGATTACAAGGAGATATCAGAAACACGCTTTTATGTAATCTAGTATATTTTAACTGAAGTGTCACTATGGTTGAAGACAAGTGCTTGATATTCAAAAGGCCCATTAAAAACAGGACTGGGCACTAAGTGAAGCAAGAACTGCTTACTTATTTCTTAATATTTTCTTTGTACCAAGCTTTAAAGGTGAAGGTGTACATATCATCTTCCTCTAATTAAGTCCTGGTAATGGTTCCAAAAATTCAGAGACAAAAAAAAGTGTGCAAGTATGTGTGTAGACTAGCAGTAGCCTAATGTAGTGGGGTAGGGGAGGCAATTGATACAGTCCAGGCTAGGCCCTGAAGCGACTGCTGGGGGTGCCGGAAGTAGTGGGCAGGCAGAGGCTCCATGGAGACCAGCCAGGACCCTGGCAGGCAGGGTGCACTCAGCCAGGTGGATGGGATGGGGCCATGGGTAGGGGAGGAGTGGCATCCAGGAACAGGACGTGTGGGTAGGACCAGGATTGCGGGGTGGTGACAACACAGGGCTGGGGCCTGGGGCACAGCTATGATCCACTCCCTGCATGTCCCTGCGACCGGCACCAGTCCCATGGACAGGTGTGTGGGGAGAAGATCATGGCTCTGCTATGCGCCCCAATCCTGTTCTGTTACCACCCAATGATCCAGGCCTTGGCCCCACCCATCTGTCCTCCTCCCAGATGCCACTCCCTGCCCATCCATGGCCCTATCCTATGTGCCTGGCTAAGTGCACCCTGCCCACAGGGGCTGTTCTCTATGGAGGCCCCAGCTGCCTGCCTGTCTGCTTCATCTGGATCCTTGGGCAGTGGGGCTGGGTCCAGTGGTGGCGGAGATACTAGCAGAGCCACCATTGGAGGTGCCACCATCAGAGCTGCTGGAAAGTGGAGTCCAGCTGCTATGCCGTCCCACCACATGTCCAGGAACAGCGAACTGGCTACATTTGCCATGGCCCACGTTACCCCACCATGCCTGTGCTAGGTGGGGCCAAGGGACCTGCCAAAGGCTGGACAGAATCCTTTGGTGGCCTGGATCTGGCCCATGGGCTATATTTTGCCCACCCTTGGTGTTGACTTTATATATGCAGCTTTGTTAGTGTGCGTGAGGGAAGGCAGCCCAAATTTTTCAATCTGATATTTAAAATTTGTTAATAATAAAAACTATTGTTGATGCTGCTTACCCCTGTAGGCTGAAAAATTAGTCCATCCACTTCATGACTGACTTCCCTAGCAAAACTTCCTTCAAGAAGCTGTAAAACAAAAACAAAAGCCAAATCATTTTCCACATACAAAGAAAATATTTTACTTTAAATATTCTAGAGTTACGTAAGATCCGTTCCATTTTATTTAAGAACTGTGTTTACTCAAATCCAAGACAAGGTTTATTTTCCAAGTCAACACTGGGGAAAAAAGCCCCTCATCTTTAATTGAAGTACAAGGTCAGGGGGAGGGAGGAGGTCAGGTGGCTGCTGCAACTAACTCCAGCCCCAACCCAGGGTCAGAGCCAGAGCCGCAGGAGCCATCTGCTCCCCTGTCTCCACTGCTACTGCCTCTGCCCCACTGGCACCTGCCCCACCCAACCCCAATGCTTACGGTCAGTCACAGCTCTGGTTTTATGCTGGCATGGAACATGGGGCGCACAGCACATGGTACCTCAAGTCCCAGCCCAGACAGGTAGCAAAGGCAGGGTGGCAGCAGCTCCAGTATCCTTTGGCTACAGCCACTGTCGCTTCAACTGCTGTTATGTGGTACATGTGCTCCATGCCTCAGGCTAGGATCGGACTAGAGCCATAACTGAGGGTAAGAGTGGGGGGAGGGAGGGACAGAGGCTGCAGTGAGGGGGAGGAGGGGGAAAGGCATTAGGATGCATAGTCCCAACAGAAATAAGTGGTGGGGGGACAGGGAGTAAAGGGGAAGGGATCAGGTCACCCATCTCCCAATCAGGCCCCTTGCCTTGTTTTCCCTGCTGGATTTGTGGGAGGGAGGAGGAATTTAAGATGACCCTCCAATAATTAGATTCTATGCATGAAAAATTGTAACAAAATTATAAATTATCCACTTATAGACCTAGTTTTTGGGGAGTAATCTTAAATTCAAAGTCATGTTGGATTCAGGTAAACACAAGAAATTCTTCTTATTATACAGAATTTCATTTAAAGTTAGTCTCATAATCTGAGAAACATAGGAAGAGAAAAAGAAACAGGATCTGGTGGAATTTAGATGACAACTTTACTGATAAAATTTGAGGCTAAGACAAAGTAAGCAAAGAGGGCAAAAGATACAAGTCTGGAAAAAAGAATGTTTGGAAAACATGAGCCTAAACACTTGAGTTATGGATGGAGCAGAAGTAGTTCAAGGATGGGACAATATATATCTTGTTTCTCCAAAACACCAAGAATAAGTCTACCATTTTAAATAGGCAAATGGTAGTGTTTTTAAAAGTTTACATCATATTTGAAAATAAGGCAAAACTTCTAATAATTATAAGTAAGGTTCTCACATAGAAGAACCTTTAATAAGTACATTCCAGCGATGATACTGAACTACTTAAAAGTTACCATCCGAATTAACCAAGACACTTAAATTCTGTTATACATTAACCAGATTGACTTCAATTGGGGTTAACCTCAAGACGTTCAAGACCTAAGAAAATATTAACCAAACCAAAACAAATCATCAATATTTATATCATGTAACGTGAAATCGGGATAAATGATTGAGAGTGATCAGCAGTGGTGAAGTTCAGCACAATTTATGTAGATGGTTATTCGTTAATTTCAATTTTTACTTCTCGCTAATAAAAGAGCATCTCTCAAGCTGCGGGTGCTTTTAAGCAATATTTGAAATATACATTAACAGATCTGTTACCTCAGTGACAAATACCACAGCAAAAAGAGAGAGAGAAAATTTGAACTGGATTTAGGAACATAATTTTTGGCAGAGGTTAAAAATGGCTGGACACACTCTGCTTACAGACATTTGAAAAAAACAACCCCAAATGGCACTCCCACGCTGAGCCCAGCACATGCCCAGAAGAGGCAGAGCATTAGCTGGACATGGCTCACCCCAGTGTCTGTGTAGACCGAGTACTTTAGTGGGGCTTTTTTGTCACTCTTATAGCTGACTGAATCAGCTTTAGATGAAAGCGCCAAAAAGCCCTGCTGAAGCACTTGAGCTATACAGACACTAGTCGGAGCCTAGTCGAACTAAGACACTGCTTCTTCTGGTAAACTGCTTCTTTTTTAATGTCTGTAAGCAGCCATAGTGCAAAGTGAAGTTACGATATAAATAAATAATCAAAATTCTGGTATAACAAATTAAAATAACATCTAAAATTGTAATAGTCTAAAACCTGTGATTAACTACATTTAAGCATTCATTTCTTGTTAGATATACAACAATTTGTTTTAAAGACAAATTTGGTTATTGACATATTAGGATTGCCTCTATTAAAAAAAGAATAGCTATTAGATTTCTTTATTCTATTTCAAAACTAATTTTAGAATAATTATACAGAGCAATAAAATAACTTGATTTGCAGTACTGTATATTAGATGCTGAGTCAAAAATGACCCACTGAGATGTGTTACAGAAAGCCTGTATTTAACACCTGAAAACCTACCACATACTCACCAGTTTTCATAAATGTCAAACCCTTTAACTGCACAGTAATCTCATAAGCAACTACTTTTAAAAAAATGGAGCTTGATTAGCATACAAAACCCCAATATTTATTCACGATTTTAAAAAATAATTAATGCACTTCAACTACACTGTTATAAATACAATGTTAATCTTTGCTTCAGTTGACTAATGTAGTATTTTGGAAATGATGGAGACAAATGATGGAGACAAATGCTTAACACAACATTTTTGTCCATCAGCTAAAACTTCTGTGAAACTATTTAAACATTGAGTAAAATGTCTGAAAATTAAACCAGCTTTCAGTCAAAAAGAGCTTTTGATAAAAGTATATTTACTAGGCATCAGAAAGGTATGTGTAATTTATTTTATTAATTTCCAATAGATAAAACAATTCCTTCCCAAATACTAATATTGTACTGAAACAAAACAACACACTTTAACTGAAATCCTAAATTGTTAGCTAAAAACACAAAAAAGCAAATCAGGAGGTGTAAACACAGAATTTACAAATGGAAACCTAAAAACTTATTTTCCCATACAAGGTAGTTTGAAAAGGAACTTCAATTTGAAGACAGAGATAATTTAAAGAGGGACTGGATATACATCATATGATCTAGTGCTAGCTACAGTAAAAGTTAAGGGTACCCAGAATAAATCACTTTCTGCATTCTGAGTAGCAATTCTTTCAGGTTAAACATGAAGCTTTGATGTCTTCCCTTCCTTTCCCTCCCCCCACCCCCCGGTCTGTCTGACTGCACCAGACTTTGTAAAATATAGTGAAAAAGAAAAGAGAGAGAGAAAAAGAGGGGCAGAAGGTAGTACTATCCAGTCTAAAATAGCAATGCTCTTTTCTTAAAATGCTTGATACCTTCCTTTACTATAATAGTACATAAAAACACTGTTCCTCCAAATTCACTTATCACACTGGATTACCAGTGGTTACAGCCCAGTTTCAGATTGGGTATTAACTCCGGTAGACCTGAACTCTCATGGACTTTGGAGGAAACCAAAGTTGTACCTTGTACCATCCAATGTTATGTACCTGACTGAAGAACATGTGAAGGTTTCAGTAGAACATGCAGAGAGGTTTTAATCTCTTCCTAAACACAAGGCAGCTCCTCCAGTAAGTAGTATAGTGACCAGCACTGAGAGCTGCTGCCCATAAAAATTAGCAGCGGGTGCAGGCATAGGTATAGCATCAGAAACCACTTACTTATTTTTTTAATTGAATAGATTTCAAGTATCTACTTTTCCCACTGACAAAATGCTGGGGACACAGTCTTTCACCTCCAAACCCAATACACCCGATGTCTACATTCCTTTGCTAGGCTATACTGCAGTGATTCTCAAAGGGTGGGCCATAGCACAGTAGTTTGCCACAAGAGTGTCAGAAGTACGTCACAAAAATGAACAGTCATCCAGCCTGTGGGGCCCCCATGGTTCCAGAAATTTGGAAGTTCTCTAGAGGGAGAACAATGGCAATTAGTACCGCCATTGCCAAATTTCTAAGAGCCACACAATGGGATCATGTCCTGGCTGTGCTAGCCCTGTGCAGCAGGATCCTGCCTGCAGACTGACCCGGCACCACTCATCTGGCCCATGAGGCCAAAAGATTGGGCATCACTGCGTCTTTAATATATATGTGCACATGTGTAATATATCACACACATGCACGAAAACATACACATGTACACATCCTTTTTCAGGTATAAGAATGAAGTGTGCCACCATTTTAATCCAAAACTAAGCATGCCTTAGGTATCAAAGGGTTGAGCAACACTGCCCTAACTGACAAATGATGACTATTATAGCTCACATGTGAAGGGTGCGTAGAGAGGTATTCCAGTAAGAAAAGCTTCTCTTATGTGACAAGGTGAATATGCCTACCTTTGTAATATATCCTTGTGATCTTAAGGCATCAGATTCAACTTTGTATGAACAAAATAGAGTTTACCTTTTCCATCAATCTTGCAGTCACTTGGGACAATACTACCAACATTCTTCCTCTTTCAATCATGCCTGTAATCTGTGAACTATGTTCTAGTCATCCCTCCATATAGACCATCACATCCAAGCTTATAAACAAGAATTGATATGATCTTGTTGTCCACATAGCTAAAATTCTCATCCAGGCTTTAATCTCAAATCTCAACTATTGTAACTTCCTCTTCTCCTTTACAGTTTCAAAAAAACCCATCTTACAAAATGTATATCCATTCAAAAAGCTTCTGCTGCAGAAAATAATTTAACTTGCCATTTCAATCACATCCTCTCCCTTTTTGCCTACTCAGTAGGCTCCAACATAGGAAACGCAAACACTCTGAAGCACCTTCATGGTCTATCCCTACCTTACTTATCATATGCTGCCAAGATATTGACTTTTACCTCTGCTCTGCAAATAAAGCATGTCTTGACCACCAAACTAGCACCTTTATACTTTCTCTTATGCCATCCCTTATGCATGGGAAGAGATCCTGTAAACATCTGTAAAGTTACCTTGTTGCCCTCCATCAGATCTACGCTTAAAACTCACCTCCCCATTTATGATCACCGCACCCCCAAAACTGAACAACTGGCAAAAGACAATGTGTGACCACTGCTGATC